TCTGTGAGAGATTATAAATGTTCATCAAAACTTTTGCTTCGAATATAAAGCAGTGATATACTTTAACTTTAAAGTATTTCAGACACGGTTTTAAGCAATAAGCGTTAAAGTTAATGAGAACTTAGAAAAATTAACATAAAACGTGAAATAGAAGACAATCAAGAAATAAAATCGTTTTTTGCAGCTGAGAAGGGTTTGTTTAAAAACAGCTGATCAAAATAACCCAACCAATCACCTCATCTCCGACGCAGATTCACGCGTCTCACACACGTAAACAACTGCCGTAGCTCGACCATAAACCGCCCCGTTTGATGTTTGCGCCAATCAATGATGTAGCTGAAGCGTGCCAATCCAATTGATCTTCACTTTTCCACTTCTCGCTTAGCTCGACCTTCGACCCTCTCACCCACCACAGCCTGTCTGAGCCTCTCCTGCCAGCAGCCACCTGCAGGCAGGGCTTTCGGACGCAGGTGTGTTCCTCGTGGAAGACGCAAGCGGAAGCAAGAAGAAGATTTAATGCACTCCTCCGGAAAGCGAGAACGAGCAAAACGAGAAAAAGAAGAAGAACAGGAAAAACCCCAAGAGAGAAACGTGTACCAGGAAATAAAGAAATGATGAATATTAATAACAGTTGCATCTAACGGCTTACCAGTTTATAGAAAGTAAAGTTTTCTATAGCTTATCTTCGCACTACTTTTGACACAGTTCAAAAATATAAAAGTGAACTTAAATATTTGCATCAATCAGTGATATAGCCACACCGTAACAATCCATTTGAAGTTTACGAAACCTGCAGACAGTTCCTGCGAGGGCGCAGGTGGTACAGCACTCGGAGATACAAGCGCAGGCGACGACAAGATTTAATACACTCCTACGCCAGAGGGAGGGAGGAAGAAAAACTTCGGGAGCGCGAAATATGTAGCAGCTCGCTGCTTTGTCCTTGTGCGTGCACGGCATCGTCTGTTCCGGAAAATCTGCACGTCGTGATAAACAGCCACTTTTCGCCCTCGTGATTTATTTTTGAACCGAGATCGCGCGAGCGGGCGGTTCTCCGGAGAGACTGTTGTCGCGACACCGCCCCCGCGCCCCTCATGAGAATGCATCAGAGGTAGCCGCCGGGAAGAAGCAAAAAATCGAACACGCGGCACCGTTCCTCGATAAGAATAAACACCTAGCAAAGAAACATGTTTAGAAACAGGTGCAAACAAAGTCGCCGCGAGATTTTAAAGCGTTACATGAAGAATGTTGATAGACATTTCTGCCTGCCGTGGAAAACTATTAGAAAAGCTAGTTTCTAAATCATTTTCTTATCTGTGTTTGTGGGATTAATTGCCATAAGTTACTTCATTGTAGTGGCTATCGCGCTTATATTTAAAGTGAATGAACTGTTAGGAATGGATGTAGCACTTCCACCCACATGGATGGAATGATGAGAAAGGACATGAGCATCCATAATTAATTAGTCACTTGAAATTGAAATATAAGCTGTTGCGGTGACGTGCATAAAATATAGGACAGTACTCATTTGTTGAGAAAAATACATATTTGTCACTACGTCTCGGGTGCAAAATTCGAACTAATAAAAATTAACATTTTACACCGTTTTTGCAATAAATTGTACAACAGTTTAGAATGCTGCTGGGAGTGTGGAGTGTTAATTGTATTCTATTCCACAGGTTGAGAAGTCCATAAAACGCAAAAGAAATTCAAATTTTAATGAAATAAACGTATTGATAGAGAAAACAGTGATATGAAAGATAAAATCTATTACATTTTAATGTAGAAGTTCTGAAGAAAACGGAATGAGGAAAGAAACATTAGCAAATTTGTGACTGTGAGAACATTTCAAAAATAACTTCAACATCCACAGTAAAGAATAACTTTGGAAAACAAAGGAGAAAGAAGCTAGACGACGATTTATGTGCAACGTGCCTGAAGACGACAACATCTGTAAAGAATAGTGAGAAATAAAACCTCGCGCCAAAAAGGAAGATAAGAAAATTATAAAGAAACTGCCACAAACAAAAAGACTGGAAAAAGTAAGTGTCAAGTGTGAACTTCTACGTTCTCAGAGGACATCAACAAGTCGAGGACACGGACGACTGACAATTTCCGTCGAGGCGCAAAACGCTAAAAAGCTAAAAAGGCTAAAAAACAGAGAGCGCGACATCCGTCTGGCGGCGCGCCCCGCCCCCGGACGGAGACTTGTTAAGGTCTGGGGCTTGTTATCGCGAACCCCAGTCGTCGAGGGAGGGGCAACATCTTGGGGAGACCCTCCCTGTTGTGCCGATTCAGCAAAAACACCCGTGTCCCTTTTCGCCTGCCCTGTTCCTGCTGTCTGCAAAACCCCTCCCCTGCTTTTCTCCACAGGTGCTTCTGGCTCCTGCGCGAAGACAGAAACGACTTCTACGTTTTTTCTCCTCCTTCGCGGCAATATCTGAGCGGTTTTATCCTCTGAGATACCTGAATATGCTTCGTACGGCTGCTTATTGTTGCTGTGAGATGATTAAGTTTTTTAGCAACATCAGTTCAAAATTTTAAATTGGTGCGTTTCCTACTTGTGCGAGCAGTATATTGACATCGAAAGTGGCATAAAATAATAATATCGAGACTGAATATTTACAGTTTTCGTAGTGTGTAATAGGAATGTCCCCCACATTGAAAGTTTAAACGTCTTGTATTAGTAAGAGTAATGTCATAAACTTTCAGAACAGAAGTGAAGACAAGTGGATTCTGGTTTTGAAGAGCAACCTGAAAAAATAGGGTATTTTTTCCTAATGAACTTTGAACTCAAATAGTTGATTGAGAAACGTAAATTATTTTCATCTCCAAATTCAAGGGAGATGGTCAAGTTCAGAACAAGTTAGGTCAGATCTAGAATAAGTGATAGTAAAGTTCCCAGGTATTAATCAACCAAATTATGAAGAAATGCCATCTATCTTCATCTCTAAATCCAAGGAAATTGTTCCAAATTTAACGCACATCGTCTGCCGTGGCAACGAGTAGAGCTGTGGGCCACAAGTTGCTGTGCATACTGTCGCATGGGCTTTTTACGGGAGTGTCTTGTCCCAATCACCTCGTAAAAGACTTTTACTGTCTTCGCAGCACATCGAAGGTGTCCCGAAGCAGTAACACGTTTAACGGTCTTTGCGCCTTCGCAATCGCCCGCTTGCTCACCGGAATCTGTTCGAATCACCGGAACAGGAACAGACAAAACCTCTCGCCACTGCATATCAATTATCTTTCATTAAACTTCCCCTTGTTTAGTATTCAAATCGCGCCCATCAATTCCACGATCGCAACGTGAAATGACATGGTAATCAACCCGTTATTTTCTGCACTCATCATCAGCTCGAGTTTAGCAAAAACCGACTTCCTGTGGGTGTGTTCGTACATTCCCTGGCAAATTGGCTGAGGACTTTTTCGGAATTGTGGTGAATACAGCCGACCCGTTTCATCTCTTCATTTCTTTCTCTCGCACGTTCGCATGTAGCGGCCTATCGCTCTTCAATATCTCTGCTCCCTGGCGTCATTTTCTCTGCGCCCAAGTACTTTGCGATCTCGATAACTACAAAGCGATCGATTTTATTTGACTTTCAAATTAACTGGAGCACTGTGTCTCCTCCATCACTGCTCCTGTTACATCGTAGGAAGCGCTCGTAGGAATGTGCGTACGTACTAACACTATGTTAACAGTGGAGTAATATAATTCGTACGGTGCCGTGTGCGTGTTTCGGTATGGAAATATTTAACAAACAAGTAACCTGAATTAATGCCGGGTGCGATAACAAGAGATCAAGTGCCAAATAATGCTGCTCTGAGTGGGTCGTGTGATCATTTGTAAACGATACATCGAAATTACGAATACAATTAATTACGTCGTCGCAAAAGTGTGGTGTAAACTCTTTTCGGCAACCAAAGGAATTGGTGCTCTGCGAATCTATATGTCAGTGCGTAGTAGAACAAAATTAAACGGGCTATTTAAATGTAAACGCACAGAGGAAATATTTCATGTTGATTTTTTGTGCAAAGAGTCTTCTGAAAATATTTAATTAAAAAACAGTTTAAACTCTTCAATAAACGAGCTCATTGACAAGGGTTGCTTCACACCATTAAAAAAAACATCGTAAATTGCTTCAAATTCCGGCCGTCTTCCCCGAAGTAAAGAACTCTATAAAAGACACGAAAATTACGCAGGCAGCTCTTCTTTTTTGTGCTTCGTGACGGATAGCGCTAAAAGGCATCGTATGAGAAGGGTGCGTTCATTAATATAACATCGACTTGATAACGCACCCCCTCCTTTGGGCGGTAGCCGTGGGGACGATGCCTGCCCTCCCAGTGTGACGTCATTGATCCACGGCCTCCTGTGTGGATTACGCGGGAGATTAATGAGCAGAATCGATCTCAGATGCTACCGCGATTAGTCTACCACCAACTGTCCACAATGAGATCGGTGTGTCGTTATAGGCCGTAATAGACGGACCAATACGAGCGCTGCTTTATTTGAATTTAAGGTGCTTCTTGATTTGCACAAGTCACATTATAAGTACAAAAAATATTTAAAAATACAATTCTGTGCAATTTTAAGAATAAACTTTTATTACAGATTTTATAAAGAAGTCATGTAATTGTATGGAATATTGAAATGCGAAAATAGACACCGTTCTTTTAACATTTCTGTAGCGAATAAAACATATTTTAGAAATCGTTGTGTGGTTCATCCAATTTTTAAAAAAATATTCTGGATAAGGTGCTGTTCTTTTACGCAATTATGCTTCAGATCAGCCGTCGGACTTGAAAAATCAATAAACTGGCTTCATGAAAGCGCCCAGAAGTGCAGAAGATTGTGTTCTGGAAGTTTTAATCACCAGCATGTGAAGCACAATACCGCGAAGCATCCCCAAACCCATTACCGGAAGTAATTAATTATCCCGTGTCGCTAATAGAACGCACAATATGACCTGAGCGACCTCTGCCGCCTGTTCCACGCACTCATCACCATGCACAACGCCACCGCCACCGCCCCCTCCCCGTCCCCCGCCGGGATCACCGCCGGCGGCCACGCCCCGCCCTGGGGGTCCCCGGGCGCGGTGCTGCCCTGGCCCAACGGGTCGTCGCCGTCGCCGGAGTCCCTGTGGAACCTCACGAGTGGCAGCGACTACTACGACAACGGCTCGCTGCCCGCGGACGTGGGCGCCCTGTTCGTGGCGCTCACGGCCAACCTCGGCGCGGACCTCGCGGCCGTCACCGGCAACGGCTCCGACGCCCCGCTCACCAACTGCTCGGCGATCAACGGCACGGCCAACGCCACCGGCTGCGCGGCGGGCGACGCGGCGCCCGAGGAGATGCCGCCGCGCCAGTACTGGGCGCTCATCCTGGTGCTGGTGCCGGTGCTGACGCTGTTCGGCAACGTGCTGGTCATCCTGGCGGTGTACCGCGAGCGGGCGCTGCAGACCGTCACCAACTACTTCATCGTCAGCCTGGCGCTGGCCGACCTGCTGGTGGCGGTGCTGGTGATGCCGTTCGCCGTCTACGTTCTGGTGAGTCGCAACACTTTTTTATTGCAACATTCTTCGTGATAAATTACTACCTTTTGTAACTATAAACTGCTTTTTGTGATTACGAACAATTGTTGGTGATTATTAACAAATATTCGTCATTGAAAGCTGATTTTCATGATTAAAAGAAATGTTCGCGATTAATAAGTAGTTTTTGTGATTATTAACAAATTTTAGTGAAAGTATTTTTTTTTTGGTAATTATCCTCTTAGAAAATGTGTGACGGAAACTGAAGCCCAAAATTTAACAGTCTATCTTCTGACTAGTTAGCCTGCGTCTTTGTTCTTAACTCGGGAGTAAGAGAGCAATGCAAAGTAAAACATTTTCGTGATTAATCTCCAATTTTCGTGACTAATAACCAATTTTATTGATTAACCTCTTTAAAAATGTCTGACAAAAACAAAAGTTACGAATACGTCTGGGTTATGGTGGCTCGAATTGCAACTTTTTATGTGCAACTTTTTTGTGATTAATCCTTAATTTCTGTAAATAATATCTAATTTTTGTTATTCATTTCTTCGAAAATTTCCGGCGAATACAGAAATTACGAACTTTTTCATCCTACGTTCTGGTGAAGCACCGCCCCACGTTTTTTATTACATTAAACTGAAATAATAACAAATGTTGCTGTGTAAAAAGCAAACTTTTTTGTGATTATCTGATATTTTTTAATTAATAACTAATGTTTGTGGCAACCAATTTTTGTGATCAATCCCTTCACAAAATTCTGACTAAAATCAAAGATACGACGTTTTGCCGCCAGCGTTCTGATGGGTCTCCATAACATCTAATTTTTATGATTAAATTACTAATTAAAAATCTCGAATTTCTTTATTAATCGTTAAATTTCGTAATTGTTAGTAATTACGTAACTCTTGTAAGTTTTGTGATTAATTTCTTCCCAGAATTCTAATGATACTAAAAGTTACGAACTATCGCCTTCTTTTGATGGGACAACCCACAGTTTTGAACTCAAACATAAAAATATAGAAAATGTCACCTGCAACCTGATTAATACGTTTAAATAAGGCGAAAAAATATCCTGTAAGAATAATGAAACAATATTGCCTAAAAAGAATACTGGAACCTCAATGAATTCATTACAAAAACTCTCAATAATTTTATTGAAAAATATTTTTGTATATATAATAGCTGTCTATTTGTGCACACAGAAAACAATGAAAAGTAAAGAGACGAGGCTAAAGAAATGGATCATCATATCGTGTACCTTTTCACGAAGGCGTATGGAGGACTGTGGGAAGGGGAGGGAAATGGCGAAGAGAGCGTAAGAGCGTGCTCGCGCGCGGGTCGAGGATTACCCGTCGGGAAGCTGGGGCAGACTCTTGATGAGCGGAGTGAGCTATGTGGTGCTCTGCGTGGGCCCGCCATTCCGAGAAATGACTGCGCTAGGCAGTAAATGAGTTGCACGAATTTGGCACGAACCATTTTCTAGTGAAACACGTTTATTTTGACAAGTCTTTCTCAAATATTGAACGAAAGATTCAGTCAATATTTATGTACAGAAATGCCACACCATTTGTGTATTTTTGGTATGAAACGAGTTTCAAAAGGGCATTTTGAATAAATATAATTGGTTTTATGAATAATTGGAATACCAGCGGGGGAATTTATATTACAGTGAAATCTGGTTTGATGTTATTGTTTTTTACATTTATTCGAACCACATTTAACAAAACGTCGAATTTTAAGTCTTCATGTTCAGTATAGTCAACGGATACCAGGAAATTGTTTTTCTAAATGACCACAAATGCTACAAATTTTCGTTGTAACTATTGATTGCGCACGCCAACTATTCTATTCTAATACAATGAACACAAAAAATTATTTGCTTAGAAATGTTATACATAGTGCGTGTGTGTGTGTGTGTGATGAGGGAGAGAAAGAGAGAGGGAGAGAATTTTTAATTTTCCCTAATTGAAAAAAAAAATAGTTTTACTCAGACGTAACCTAGAATCAGTTTCTCTATATTCTTCATTGAGTCATTCATCAACTAGTATACAATATAGAGTCTCGTTGTCTAATACGAGATGATTCGTAGCATTAATGAATATTCCTATTTCCATTAAAGTGTAATGATGGTCTTTTATTTCTACTCTCAAGAAGGAATTAAACATGATAATGCATAGCTCGTTGGAACTAATTTAATATTAGCTTACTCGAACACTTACAGAGATATACTTGTTCTTTTGAACTTTCATGTAACTCTTGTTTGTATATTAATTTATTTCATAAAGGAAGATTGATTCCTGGTACTTCAAGGCATATTTAGGATGCAAATCATTGATTTCATTATTTTACTTGCAAGTTTTTAGTCTTTATATAGAATGTAGTTATTCTGAAACAATTACTATGTGAGATTGACATAAAACTGAAAGGAAAAAATATGTAAAACATCCTAGGTTGACAAACGTTTGATTTTACAAGGAATTAGAAATGAGCTTTGTGGGTATTTGTTGTAACCTATACATTATAAAAGTATTTCTAAGATGCAGTACGTTATGTTTTTTTAAATTTGATGGTATTCAATTGACGCAACGCGTCTTCAAGCCCCGGGGCGCGTTGAGCACTTTCGAAGTAATCAGCGCGGGAGTAATTCTAAATTATCAGAATATCATGTCCGCCACGTCTCGTCGCAGTCAGTTGCCAAGAGGACCGCCAGGTAGGATCACCGCGTACAAGACTCCTACTACGCGCTCTTGCGTCCCTAGCCAGCGGCCAGAAGTAAGGTAAGAAAGGAATTAGGATTAGGACACCTCCACAGGAGTTGGACTAGCCCATGTTAAGCATGCAAACACGTTTTGTCATAACAAATATCACATTGAGGGTCTTTGCCACTGCCGCGGGAGGATAGGAGATTCATTTTCAGTCCTAAAATATAAGAAGCTTTTCAATGAAAACGATTGAAACGAGTGTGGTTCAATTATCCCGCAGTTATTTTAGAAATACCTGTTGTTATGTAACAATTCCCTTCTGGCATAAATTACAAATAGAGTTAAATTTGAACTAAAATATTGAACATTTTTTGAAAAAAACTTCAAATTTTTGTGCCGGCTAGATTCTCTGTCTGTCAGTCCGTCTGTCTGTCTCCCTCTGTATCTGACGAGTATCACAAATCATGTTCCTGAAACCTGAATGTAATGAAATTATTGAAACTTTCTTTCCAAACTGAGACGTCTGGACTATTTTAATTTCATATGCATTCTAACTTTTAATGTGGATGGTGGAATGATTATATTTAATAAGGTAATACTTTTATTCATTACATTAACTTTACGTTTTTATGTTCCGTCTTGTTATAGTGATTTGCACTTTTAGGTACTCTTTTGGGATTTTGTATAAAAAATGTCATCACTATAATTTTTTATTGTTTAAAAGAACCACAAAACAATACTTTTCAGTTGGTACAATTCCGTCTGAAAAACAATGAAACAGAACTTTTTAGGGGTACAAAATAATATGAAAATATTTCAAAAGATACATTTTTTCATTTAACAATAATACTGTATGAAAATCTTTTATCTTCATTTATGATATACCCCTATTTTGATGAATTACAGAATTAGATTTCTTACTTAAATATCTATGAAATTTCTTTCCTAGGTAACATACTGTAGTAAACGTAATCTAGAATATTATTTGAAACTGTTCTAAAGACTTGTAACTTCAGTTGAAGCATTAACAAATCTTTCCATCAAGGTTTTTGCTATTAGAATTATAGTTTTATCCTTTCATCGCCTGAAAAACACATTGCCTGTGGAGAGACCTGGAATTGAAAACAAGTAGTTTCTTATTCATTATTAATACTGGATGGGTTGATGTCATTTCCATGGAGACATGTTCTGTTACATCCTGTATTCAATTCCTGTTTTAATCAACGTATTACGCACATTCAATATTTCAATTCAGCATTTTATATTCTATTTCTTCTGCACTGTTAACGAACTGTTTTCATAATGTAGAAGATGACTTTACTAACGAAAATGTATACAAAGGTGAAACAATATTTATTAACAAGAATTCGTTATCTAAAAAACGATGTGAATTTCCGACAGAAGAACTCTTATGCTGGGCCCTAGGGACGAAAATGTGAATAAATATTGTACTTATACATAGAAAATTTCTTACTCCGACATGTGTAGTCAGAACCCATAATTTGTGGGTCTTAGGTATCGAAAGATGAAATGACCGCAAAACGTCTGTTTGTCCGTCCGACTGTTCGTGATGTGTGGCTAAACTGTGAGCAGGATATTAATCAAAATTGACAATTCATAGACGATGTGGCTGATGTCGAGGCCCCTTGAACTTAAAAGTGGTACTGTAATTTTGAGAAGCAATTATGAAGGCTCTGGAACTTTTTCAAAATTTTAAAAAGAATTGCACCAAATTGTTTCGTCAGTTAGCGTGAAGGACGCTTAAGAGAATCATTAAATCGAGAAACAGGTCTCGTTTTCGTTAAAATTCCTGATTTTTCGAAAATTGTAAAAATTCAGTTTTTGGTACTTTCTACAACTACAATTATGAATATAATTTTCCTTAATAAAATGTGTTCTTCAAAAACAGTTCATGAAGCTTGAACAAAGTTATGTTTAATTTTTCGAAAATACGAACAAATTCTTCATTATTTTGAGTAAAACATAAGCGCTTTTAAAACCATTTTACACAAGTGAAGATGAGGCAGGCTGTCTCAGCAGAGGACTATTGATCAGTGTTTGAGGTCTTTTACCTACTACTTCGTTGATAACTCAGCAAGTGATAAATTTATTCTCGAAGGACCACTAAAAAATTTAGGCTTCCTAGACACCTATTAAAATCTCCTGAAGTAAAGATCTGATGCTACCGTGAAAGGTAATTGAGAACGCAGCACACTCATATTTTAAATATAATTAAATTAGTGACCAAGTTGTACATAAACAAAGTAACATTGATCCATTTGACTACTAATTGATATTAATTTTAAGTCAACACTTGTGCAGATGCAACCCACTGCTGGATCCACAATTACTTATAGCTGAGGACGGAGTGGACTATAGACAGGAGTGGAGTCCAGTCATTGCGAATGCACTTATTTGGTCTACTTGCTGTCGAATGGACAGTTACATTTTAGGTTAACACAGAACGCCAAAGATGCGCAGCTCGACGACTGAAAACACAAGCACAAAAATAAGTTTGTCAGACCCAAAGATTCCAAAAAAAGTTTCTCTATGTATGTCGACGTGCTGAATTCGAATCCAAAATTAGAATTACGCCATCTCCTTCCATTTTTATATACTGCGAAAAACACAAGTAAATAATAGATTTTTTGTATCTTGTAACATTATACTCCACAGGAACCAAAAGGTTGTCAGACCTAAAGATTTGATACATGTTTGTCACTGTATATCGACGTGCTGAATCGGAAGCTAGAATTGCACCACTACCTTCCAATTCCTCCAAACAGCCTGCACATGCAAGACTGTATATCAGTATTTGCTTGAGATCTCCGAACAGACTCAACATTATAATTAAACCTTGTCGATATAGATACACAATTATAAGAGGAATACACAATTAAATAAATCGCTTCTACAAGATGCCTTTATAAAATATACGATACAGGATTGATGTTAAAGAAGAAACGCATTAAAATAGTACATTAAACAAAATGAATTTAATAATTTAGGCAGTAGCGGAGTTTGCTACGAGAATTATTTTCTTAAAATCCGTTGAAAACATTTTCCTCATTATTTTCTAGCATATAACAAAGTATGGTAATGAATATCATGCTCGTCCCATTTTAGGAGCACTCTCAGATTTCGAAAATTGCAAACAAACATTTAACATCGCAAAAGAACAATATTGTTGATCGAGTTGTATTCCATGTAAATTATTGACTTGCCTCTTGCGTCGTTAATATTTACACTAGCGACGATGTGATGACATATTATCTTTTAGAGTTCAAGTGCTTTAAATAATGCCAAGAAGTTTCTCAAAAACTAAACCGTTTTCTGTAAAAAAAACAGGTCAAAATTCCGCATTTTCAAAAACATTCAAACGTTATTTTCTCAAAAAACGGCTTAAATTTTGTCCTCAAACTTTCGAATGGATAGTGCTAATAGCCCTCTTTAATATGACGTAGAGTTTATTTTCAGGAATTATTTTTGTTTTTTTCGAAAATTACACAAATATACATTTTTGAAAGATTGCTTACGCTGTTGATATACATTTCTAGCAATTTGTAAACAGTATTGTATTTGTGAGTTTACGTGCTTCAAATGACGTTCCATTATAGTTTTTCGAAAACTCAAAACTTTTCTGTAAACAATAGCTTCAAATTTCGAATTTACAGTAGCGCTTAAACGCCATTTATGTAAAAAGAGCTCCTCATTTTTCAAAGAAAATTGCCGTTTAAGACACGTT